ATGAGATTTTTTTGCCTTATAAAGTATGTATTGTTTAATGGCACATTAGTCTAGCCCAATAAAGTTAATTTTCATAACTGCACATACATGCTCAGGACAAAATAATGAGACTTCCAAGAGTTCATGAAAGATGCTAAACCAAATAATTCAAGGCCTCTAGACCTATTTACCACTTTTCAGTAAAAGTCCATGTTATAATATACCACAAAGTGGCATTTAGAAAAATCCAAAATTCAGGAAACTCTACAAGATAAATGATGTGGTTTCTTCAACAAATACATTGCAAACAGAAAAGGAGATATAGAAAATCTGTAGATTAGAAGAAGCAAGCAGCATGTGAAAAAACAAAGGTCTAAGAGGAGAAACTTGCTTGGAAGTTGATTCAAATGAATCAAGATTGAAAATTGTCATGGAGACAAATGAACACACTAAGGCACAGTTTAGATGTTAATTGATATTAAGGAATTGCTGTCAGATTTTTAAGTTTTTTGTTTTTGTTTTTTTGAGACAAGGTTTTTCCATGTAGTTTAGTACCTGCCCTGGATCTTGCTCTGTAGACTAGAATGGCCATGAACTCAGAGATCCTCCTGGCTCTGCCTCCTGAGTGCTGGGATTAAAGGTGTGTGCCACCACCACCCAGTAGATTTTTAAGTTTTTTATGGAAAGGATAAGAGTTGTATGTTTAAGAAATTTGTTGTCTTTTAGAGACACAAATAGAATTAGTCACAGATGAAATTCCCCAATATCTAGGATTCTCTTCAAAATAACCAGGAGGTTGTGTGAGGAGTGCCTGTGTAGAAATAGATGGTAACAACCATGAGTTAAACAAGAAAGACATTGAATTAGAATGTTAACAGATGGGCAAGGTGAAAATGGCCGGGATGGGGCTGTAGGTTACCCTGTTCTCTGTGTATATTTGAAATTACTATAATAAAAAATATAAGTGGTAAATACTTATTTAAATTACTATAACCACACAACATCATTGTTTTTTGTTGATAATTTCTCACTTTTGGAGTGTTTTTCTCCAAAACAGAAAATAAACAAAATGAGTGTGTGCATGTGTGTGTACATGTATGTGCATTGTACTCAGACTTTTGCTGCTAGATTTCTGACCTGTGGTGTACATTTGACTAGGGTGAAGCGTACTGGGCTATGTAATTGACAGCATCATCCAGGTAGCAGTGACCATAATCATAACACAGGTGGATGCTATTCTTGTCACATAACTTTGGTATTTAATCATGTAGGATACCCTCCACCCAGGTTCTCCTTTAATATCCTTTACAAAATTCCTTTCTACTTAGCACAAGTTTGACTGGGGCGGTACACCTGTCAAACGGTAACGCAGGTGTCCTAAGGCGAGCTCAGGGAGGACAGAAACCTCCCGTGGAGCAGAAGGGCAAAAGCTCGCTTGATCTTGATTTTCAGTAAGAAATGTGACTCACACAGTACCCACCAGAGATGCAACTGTTTTAGACAAGCTAGTAGGATCCTTGAGGAGAATTTTTCAGCTGGTCATTAAGAGTATGAGTAGGGGCTGAAGAAATACTGGAATGGCAAGCATGAAATGGAAAGGGTGTCTCTTGGAAACTATGCCATGAATAAATGCAGAGGAGCGGAAATTACAAAGCATGGATTTATAGATAATCCAACCTGGTCACAGCATACACAGGATGAAGATGGGCAGGAGAGTGATCAAAAAAGGATGCTGAGGCAGACCACAGTAGTCTAGACCAGGACTTCTTAAGTTTGTTCTACTTGCCACTGCTTTGCCTGATAATTTTTCATGTGACCTTGAATTTATGTGTATATGAAGCAGGTAAATAAATCAAAACCTGTTGATAATAGATCATATGACAAAAATGCCACAATAATTATTTGGTGTACATGTATTTTTACTATGTATTAAGGATGAAGCAAGTTTTCATACCACTACTGTGCATGGTATGTGTTTGTTTATATTTTTGTTGGGAAGAAAAGGGTTTCATTTCTTAATTCCTTGTTTCAGGTTCAGATGCTATACATTAAGTACTGTATGAACCTGTGCTTCAGGGTACTTAGCATTTGGTATGGGCATTATCTCATCTGAACTTGTCTGGAGAAATACAGCTTGACTGTTTTGCTTATAAACACCAGAAAAACGTACCAAGTTAGAAAACAGGGCATTCATGTATTTTTTTATTCTTCTCTCACACATTACATCCCAACCACAGTTTCCCCTCCTCTCCTCCCAGGCCCCTCCCCCACCTCCCCTCTCCTCCAGATCCACTCCTCCATTCAGAAAAGAAGAGACCCCCCCCCCAAGGATATCAACTGAACACAGCAAATTACACAATTTTCTACGCCATGTTTTTCTAATTTGCAGTTGGTTTGAACTGCTGTGTAGGAATTTACCTCCTAAAGTTGACCAAAGATCAAGAGATGGAATCTTGGCCTAAGTGGTTCTGTCTTAGTTACGGTTACTATTGTTGTGATGAAACACCAAGACCAAAGAGCGAATTGGGGAGGAAAGAGTTTATTTGGCTTACACTTCAGCATTGCTGTTCCTCACTGAAGGAAGTCAGGACAGGAACTCAAAGAGGGCAGGAACCTGGAGGCAGGAGCTGATGCAGAGGCCATGGCAGGGTGCTGCTACTGGCCTGTTTCTCATGGCTTGCTCAGACCTTCTTTATTTTATTTTATTAACTTTTTTTCATTTATTTTACATACCGACCACAGTTTCCCTCCCCCTGGCTTCCATCTACCTTCCTCCCCATCACTCCTTCAGAAAGGGCTCAACCCACCTTCTTATAGAACCCAGGACCACCTGCCCAGGGATGGCACCACCCACCATGGGCCAGGCCCTCCCCCATTGATCACTAAATGAGAAAATGCCTTACAGCTGGATCTCATCAAGGCATTTCCTCAACTGAGGCTCCTTCCTCTAAGGACTCTAGCTTGTGTCAAGTTAACACACAAAGCCAGCCAGTATAGGTCCGTCCCCTAAGTTGCCCTTAACATCAGTTATGTTTGCATCGGGGAAAGCCAAAAGGAGTCTTTGCTTTTCAAGCTCTTGAGTGAAGGCCAATGAGATGGCTCAGAAGGCAAAGGAGTCTGCTACCAATCCAGAGAACTTGAGTTCAGTTCCCAAGACCCATATAATACAAGGAGAGAACTGACTCATATGAATTGTCCTCTTCTCCACACATGTGACCTGTGGCAGGTGGGCAGGCATATGAGTGAATAATAATAATAATAGTAGTAATAATAATAATAACAATAAATTTTTGCAGAGACAAAGAGAGAGGGGTGCTATACTGCATTTCATGTATTAAAAATAAGAAATGTCTGTAGCAGGATTCTTAAATGGTCTTATTAATTAAATCAAACCTGAGGCCAGTTATTGGGGTGAAATGCTGGATGGTCAGAGAGACAGAAAAAGTCACAGCTACCTCATCTCTCCAGTTCCTCAGCTGGTCCTGTTTCCTCAGACTGGAAGCCTCTGAGTCCTCACCCAGAATGAATCTCAGCTGAACTGCTGCTCGAAAGCCTGAAAGCTTAACCAGCCAAATGCTTAACCAGCCAAAATGCTTCTAGTTTCTGGTCTTCACGTCTTATGTGTCTTTTCTTTCTACCGTCACTCCCTGGGATTAAAGGCTCACTTTCTGGGATTAAAGGCGTGAATCACCATGCTTGGCTCTATCCTTCAACAGATGGATTTCTGCCTCAGGAATGCTAGGATTAAAGGCGTGTACTAAGTATCTAGTGGCTTTTCTGTTCTCTGACCCCAGATAAGTTTATTAGGGTACACAATATTTGGGGGAAGACAATACCACCACAAATGTCTTAGCAAACTTAAATATTTTCAGTCATAATATAAAACTTATTATTGGATTTACTTTGATGTATGGTTTATAGCCAAATCAATTATCCATATACTGTCACTTTAGTAGAAATGTAAACTTCAAACACAATGAGAGTCCCTTAAAATCAGGCCATAGTATAGAAAATAGTTCATGGTCTTACAATGAGTATATTTATACCAAAAGTGGTCCAGATGCAGCATGAAGGCAAAGAAAATTTCACATATGTTACAGCTTGTTACATGTATTGACAGGGCCCTTTCTTCTCTAAGCATTTGAAACATTCACATTATACAACTCTCCACTTCCAGCAAGCTTTCTGGAGATGACAAGGTCATTGTCCACAAGCCTGGTGCCATGTTGTGACACAAAGCAACACTTTGAAAGCTACTGGGTGATCTTTAATACTCTGATTTTGTAGAACATTTCAGGTTGAGATAAATAGCTTATCCTGTAAAAACATTTCAGTTAAAACAACAAGTTCACCTGTGGGAGGCAGAGGTAGGCGGATCTCTTTGAGTTCAAGGCCAGCCTGGTCTACAGAACGAGATCCAGGAAAGGTGCAAAGCTACACAGAGAAAAAAAAAGACAAATATATTTAAGAAACATGTGGTTAGACATGTACTTACCTCCAGTCTGCAAGTCAAAGAGAAATTCCAGACGTCAAACATTCCAACACAATTTAGGAAATTGTTATCAGGATGTACACTGTCCTCAACCCTTATAATCCCCAGATGCCCTTCACATTCGCCTGAATGGTATAGTGAGATACAGCTGTTAAGCAAGCTGACCAAGGGCTGGAGAGATGGCTTGGTGGTTAAGAGCTGTGATTGCTCTTCTAGAGGTCCTAAGTTCAATTCCCAGCACCCACAACCATCTACAGTGGGTTCTGATGCTGGCATGCAGATGGAGCACTTATACCTTAAAAAATACATAAGTAAGTAAGCTATTTTTTAAACAGTTTTTTTTTAAAAAAAAAAAAAAAAGAAAGAAAGAAAGCTAATCAAGCTAGTGCCATCATCATCATCCAATCACAGTGTCAACCAAGCCTTTGACACAAGGTGGAAGGGCATCTCAAATTCAAATCACAGCCTGGGTCTCTCCATATGTTTCCACTTGAGACTCCCAATAAATTCCCTGAGAACAACAACCTACCATATTCTGTTTTGTGACCTGCTTCTCCCTGGAGCATCTTACAATACGGGTTGTACCTAGAAGATAAGCAAATATTCAATGGGTGTGTGATGCTTAAGGAATAGCAGGACAATGGACAAAGACAACACTTTTTAAAATTCCTGATTTAAATATATGTAAATCTCCAGCATCTCAAACTGTTAAGTCATTTATATGCAGCATTAGATGTTCTCTTCTGTTAAATCTATCCAGACAATAAAGACTTAAAAATTATAAGCAGTGCATATAAGCAGGAACATCTATTATTTGTAAAATTTTGAGTGTTTCATTCTCCTCATAAGGCGAATTGAAAGTCAACTATCATATGTATAATTAATACTATCACAAAGTCTAACAAGAACTCAGAATTCAAAACTCACAAATGGAAATGTGTCTAATTTTAGTAATGGCCTCCGAGGTCTTAAATATGCATCAGTTAAAAAAAGTGTGATCTATTTCCATTGCAGACAAAACATTGTCAGAAATACCAAAGTCTTCTCATTTGCATAGCTTTCCACATTTTTGCAAAGTATAACTGGAAAGACCAACTTTATCTATCTTCTCAATAATTAAATACTTAGCAACCCTTGAGAGCTATGTGTAGCAGCCACAACACCTGGGAAACAAAGTGTTCTCAGAGAACTTTGAAAAGATTGTTTATGGTGTTCCATTTGATCTTGAAGCACCAGATACCCATGACGACACATACCACAAATACATCTCAAGTACAAATTCTTTGCACTCTTAAACTTAGAGTCTACAGAAGCATTCATACAGATAACAAGAAAGAACTGAAGAGCTAGATTTCCAGGAAGGAAGATAAAGACATGTTAGCAACCAACTCTTCTGTTTTTCCCAGAATAACTGTGGAGAAAATACTAGGAATTTCAAAGACCTAGGCTTCATACACACTTCCAAAAATAATAACAATAATACTAGAATTTTTTGTTTTACATAAAATTTAAAATTATTCTTTAAACACTTAACCTTAAGAGTCATCAATACTTAGTACCCAGTTCTTTGGGGGATATATGCCACATTTGGCTTTAATCTCCTAAAACCCACAGCAGTTAGAAAATGGCTCTGTAATCAAATGTCTCAGATGAAACAAAGATAAACTATAGAGACCTACATTTTAACAAAATGAATCTGTCTCCCTTTGCTTAAGTAATTTTAAGTGATTGTATCAGCTTTTCAAAGCTGTCATAGCACTGTACCTTGTTAAGTGGCTTAAACAACAGAAATATTGCCTCAAGGTCCTCAAGACTGGAAGCCTGGTGGAGCAAGGGGCCAATGCTCTGAACTCTGGTGGTTTGCTGGCCATATGTGGCATTTTTTCATTTGGAGAAGATCACCCTCATCTCTGCCTTCATTGGCACTTGGTGTTTTCTTTGTGCATGTGGTTTTCTCCAAATTTTCCCTCTTTGTAAGAACACAATTCGTACTTAATTACAGACCCACCAACTCCAATAGGGCATCATCTTAGTTACATCTGCAATGGTCCCACCTCCAAAGGTCATATCCCATGGTACAACAGGTTAGGGTTTCAAAGTAGAAATTTTGGAGATAAATAACTCAATGCATAATAGGAATTGAAAGAATTGGCTCCAGTAATGCGTATAACAAATCATCTAGAAATAACAGGCAAGCAAACATTTATCAAATAGAATAAAGAAATTGCACATATTGAAGTAATTTCAATAATTCATTTAAACATGCATCTTAGAAATTTAAGAATTATGCTAACAATGTAAAGACTCAATAGATATACAAGGGTGCATTAAATGTGCCATTAAGTCATATTTTAGTCATATTTTGTGGGTAAAGATTAAAGGACACTAAGAGGAACCTCTTAAAATATCCATTTGGTGGCCCAGTGTAGACAGAGATAAACAGCAAGTGAACAGTATCACTTTTCTAGTGGTGCCAGGAATTATTTATGGAACTATGACTTGATAAATATCCTATGAGATTTAACTACTTTATTAATTGGGTCCCCAGGAATATCTTTGATTAAGCTAAACCCCTTTTGCATGTTAATAATGACCACATAAATCAGGGAATCTCAGTGGATCAAGACCCTGGACCCGTTTTCCGTATTTTCACTCATGCCCCAGGGTGTGTGTGTGTGTGTGTGTGTGTGTGTGTGTGTGTCAGGGCCTCCCAGAGCTGAGCATGAAGTTATGTTGGTGCAGCTGAAGAGCCTGGCAGACCAGTCTGATAGAAGGCAAGGAGGGCTTTGGAGGACTGTCAGTAACAGATCTCCTGACACTCCATGAATGAGTGCCTGACCGGCTGGTAGTACCCAGGAAGAATTCAGACCACAGGCAGTCTTTAGATTTCCTGGGTTCTTACTACAGGGAGGATTCCTTAAGGGATTAAAGATAGTTTGCCCTACAATCCCTTTTGGAAGAGGAAAACAATTAAACTTGTTTAGAAGAATAAGGATGACATTTTTAACCTCTGAAGATAATGATAATGGACCATATTCATAACCTGGCCCTATTGAATGTCTCTTGTTATTTTTTTCAGTTTTTTTAATCTTTTTTTTTTTTTTAATTTTATATGTGTTGGTGTTTTGCCATGGGTGTCTGGTCCTCTGGAACTGAAGTTACAGACAGTTGTGAGCTACCATGTAGGTGCAGGGAATTGAACCCAGGTCCTCTGGAAGAGCAGTCAGTAGTCTTAACCACTGAGCCATCTCTCCAGCCCTGTCTGTTATTATTTTAAAGTATACTCTCTTAAACATAAAATATTCCCCATTGCTGTCATATAATTTATGATATGCAGATGATACTGGTGTAACCAGAAACCCAAGTTATACAGTAAGACAATGTCACTGAGTATGATATTATACTGAAAATTCTATTGCTCCAAAATTAGTGAAAGCAAGGGGAGTCTCAATAAAGGCGTAGTGGCATGAATGAAGTTGCTATAAATTTGCAAATTCGTTACTGTATCTGTTCATTACATACATACATATTAAATATACATACATTCTGCATATACATTCTGGATGTTGAATGTTTCCCCTCTCCAAATTTCACATAAAAATTCATTTGCCATGGTAACAGTATCATATTGTAATTAAGAGGGAAAATTTCACAAGGTTATTGAATCCCGAGGGATCCACCTTTACGAAATGACTAATGTCCCTATTGTGGGAGTGGTTTCTTCATGAAAAGAACAGGTCAACTCCCCCTCCTTTTCCCTCTCCTTGTCTCTCTGTTCGCTCTCTGTCCCTCCCCCATGGGATGACACAGCAGGAAGTCTACACTAGATGACAGCATGTTGATCTTGGATTTCCCATCCTACAAAACTGCAAGAGAATAAATTTCCATTCTCTATAAATTACTCAGTCTCAGCTAACCTGTTTTGGTAGTACCAAATGGGTGTAGACATCTTTCTGATTTGTTCATTGCCTGTCCTGAGTCAGTTTTACTACATGCCAATTGCCAGGGTCTTCGGCAAAAGATTTTAGCAGGCAGTAGTAGGTAGAAGGCACAGATTACTGTATAGTCATCTCTAGAGGCTAAAAAGCAGGGCTTAGCACAAACATCCCAAATGTACACTTTGTGTGTTGGAAAGGGCAAGTGTATCCATGGATAGATAGTGTTGCTGCCTGCTCTCTGGCACACTGACTGGTCACTTTCATGGAAGCTTCACTCTGCACCAAACAAAATGATTTTTTGAAAGCAGAATGTACCAGCACTGCAGCTGGTTGAGGTGTCAGAATCCTTCACAGATTGGAGTAACAAAGAATGACCAAGGGACCAGGATCTTGCCCACTGCTATACATTGGTTACACAGCTGATTTAGTATAAAAGTAGTGGGCTGAAGCAAATGCATAACTGTTGAAGACTAGTTATTCATCAAGAAAAGGAAATATATTTTTGAAAACTCCCCCGGTGTCCATTTCTATAATGATAATCAAAGCTCTGAATAACTGCACCAGTTCTTTTTAATTCTTCTTAGAACACGTCAGATTGATGAAACTTTTCCTACAGTCCAGACTAGACTCTATCATTCACACAGATATCTCTTTGCACTGAAACATTCTTCAAGCAAATGATAAACAGAATATTATGGTGCTGGTGGCTGTGTATTCTGTCACTAGTTGTTAACTTATACAAATGTAGTACACTGTTATTGCTTAACTACATAATTAGATGTCCACCTTGAAGGTGAGAAAAATCAAAGCACAGAGATGGCCTTGGCAGTTCAATCATTGTGAGCCCCGGATCTTTCATCTGAACCACATGGTCACTGTCTTAAACACCTATGACAATAGATCTACAATCCCTTCCTTGGTGCCAGGCATTCAATCAAGATGAATTCAGTCAGTCATGGTTCTAACATCTAAATAAAATATAGATGAAGTAAAGACATTTAAGGCTTTGATTTAGTATTTGATATTCCTGCCTCTAGGCTGTGATAGGATTTTATTCTTTGAGGGAAGTTTGGAGAGAGCCCAAGAATGTCTTCTCCAAGACACTGAGGGTTCAACACAATCAAGACAGCCGTGACAGGCTCTAAATCAAAGGCTCCTTCCAACTCTCGGTCTGTGTCTCAGTTTACAGAGAATCTATCTGTACAATAATGCCAAAAGATAATGTGGATTTCAGAAGTTGTTGAGTCATTTTTGGTCTTTCCACAATTTCTGGCATAACAATGTGTTACAGGATATTAAATCACCAATGACTTTTCTTTTACGTTTCTAAAACTCTTACCATCTAACACTTTCCCCTTAAAAATCATTGATTTTGAAGTGGTGTTGGGAGCTCTAATTCAGCATCTCAAACAACAAACACTGCCTTAGGTGGCAGCCAACCACATCTCTTGTAATCCAGTTAGGGAAAGTCCTTAGGTGCATCCAATTAAATGTGCCTTTGACTAATGTCCGGGTACTGCCAGGAAACCAATCCTAAAAGACAGCATTTGATCCTGTGAAAGATTAATTAGCAATCCATCCCTAAACAACAACAACTTATAATTTCCCATAATTCACTTAGACAGTACCTTTCTGTCTGTCTGGACA